GGCTGGATGTTTTATTATATATAAATACATATAATATATATTTATATATATAATAAAACATATATATATATATATAATAAAACATATATATATATAATAAAACATATATATATATATATATATATATATATATATATAATATTATATATATATATTATATACTATATTATATATAATACAATATATAACATACTATACTATATATATGTGATATATATATTTTATATATTATATATTGTTATATATAAGATATGCTATTATATAATATATACAATATAATATATATATAAAATATATATTATACATATATTATGTAAATATATATTTATATAATACAATAAAACATATTAGCAGTATTTTATATATATATATACATATATACATATATATATACATATATATATATATACTGCTATCCATGACAGAGTAGTAAGACTTTCCAGAGGCCAAAACGTAGAAAATAATTGGCACACAAGTAAAACATGCAGAACAAAGGACATAATTCTTTATTTATCTTCAATTAAAACGGGGAATTCAGCCAAGTCCTGTATTGGCTGGTTGGTAACACTGCTCATTAGCATGGCTTGGTGTAGCTGTGCTTCCTGCCACTTTGAGGCTGTCTCTTTTATGACATTCTATAAATACATGTATCACATTCAATTTTAGGGGCTGGGAAAGGAGGGAGATTTATTACTCTGTCTCAAAAATCTATCACATTTCCTATTGAAGACCTTTAAACATAGTGAAGGGGTTAGCACTGCAGTTGATGCATTTAATTACTTGAGCTGTAAATAACCATCTTTTTGTCATTGGGTCCAAACAGAGCATTTTTTGTTGTTTTTATTTATTATTGCAGAATCAGTTTTTGTCATCACTTTTTTTAAAATTAAAATTAAAAACCCCAGGTAAAACCCAGCCAAAAAGTGATTCCCTTTCCTGTGTGCCAGTGGGGCAGCTCTGCACCAAAGGCCAGAGGTACCTGGGAGTGGCAGCAGGACACTGACAGCCCCAGCAGGTGGCCAGGGCTGTTCTGCATGCACCACTTTGCCTAATATGGATGAAAAGGACATTTTTAGTTTTGGGACTGCAGGGAGAAAAAATAGACCAAAAAATGCATGGGTTCCCCTATGACTGTTTGCCTTAAGTTTTGGCAATGTTTTATTTTAAGTTTACAAAATTTGATGTAGCCCATTACTAGGATAAAGTGGGAGAACAACTTAAATTTTACACCAGGCACCAGCCTCTTAAAACCTCTCTGAGTTTTAAAAAATTTTAACTCCTGGATGTGTTAAAGAACTTTGAGTATTCTCAGATAGTCTGCTTTACACCCAAAGTGATCATTTCAAGGTGGAATTAATTTTAATTTTTTAAAAATTTACAGAAGCTAAGATTTTTAGTTAAAGCAGGAATTCAGGCTTATCTCCAAAGCTACCTCTGGAATTTCCACCCAGGGTGGGGTTGGGGTTCGGGAACACCAGAGCTGTTCACAACTGCAGCTGGGTCTGGTGCTGTCCTGGTTTTATTGCACACACACACACACACACACACACACACACACAAAAACACACCCCCCTCATCTGTTTTGTTCTCACTGCCAAAATAGGGGGACTTGCCACATACTAAAACAAGCTGATAAATTGGAAATGTGTTTCTTACAAGTTCTGTATTGTATTTTTCCATCCAGCCCCAAATTCCACCCCATCCACATGCCAGGCTGTCAGAGCCTCACTCTGTTCCCCACAATCTCATGGCCCAATTTCAAGAGCAGGTACTTTGGCAGTTAATCTCCATTTTCATGACAGAAAGAAAGGAAAGAGATATAGCAATGGATTAGAATTTTATTTAATTTCCAACTGAAACTCCCAAAAGCTCACTCTCAACAGATCAGCTGTAATATTATAAATGAACCTTTATTAAAGACACTTCAATGCCGTTTGTTAGACACTTCAATATCTTACATGTTTTTCAATGTACAACATTGTACCAAATTCTCTAATAAATAAATAAATTTGTACACAAAAGTAATACTTCCTCTTTCACATTGCCTCTTAGAAGCAGCAAATTCACATATTTAGTGGAAGTCATAACATTAGGCAGTTAACTTTATTCAGAACCATTATTTTCAATGTTAACATGGCAAATATGCTTTTGTATCTGCACTGGTGATGACATTCCTGCCAGCAAAATGAGCCCATTGAATCATTCCCATCTCCCCCACGTCCCTGGTTCCATGAGTTGGTTCTGGAGCACTCTTCCCTTCAGCAAAGGGAAAACTCTGCTCGGTTTATAATTTTCTAACATCCATTTCCTCTGCTCTGAATAAACTTGGCACTCAACATAATTCGCCACCTGTCTCAAAGTGCAAACGTGTCAATAGTCAGGGACTGGGACAGACAGGTACTGGTGAATTATGCCTGGCTTCATGCAGGGGCAGCTGCTGCTCCCCCTGACCCCAGGTCCTTCCCTTGCAGGAGATAAGGCTGGGCTGGGTTGGTTGTGATAAACCAAGGGGCAGCTTGCAGCTTTCACTGCCTGAAACCCCCCAGGTGCAGCAGCATTGGGGCAGGTCCCTCAGTGATGGAGCTAAAGTGACCATGAAGTGTTTCTGCCCTTGTCTCTGCTGCTGGTTCTGAACCACAGTCCTGGCAAAGGTGGATTCCCAGACTCAGCCTCACTGGAACTGGTATTTGAGTTGCTCCTAAGGAAAAAGGTGACAGCACCCCCTCCCACCCATGATAAACCTGCCCCCAAGTAGTCATCACCAGAGTTAGCAACCTCATGTTAGCAGAACTCAAATCACAAAGAACTGGGAGTCCTCCATCCACAGGTACCAACAAACACCAACAGAAAGCAACCTTCCTATAAATAAAAAGCGTCATTGTGAAGTCAGAAGTGACAAAGATCTGTTTGACTGAGGTGGGCATTTCTTTATATCCCCCCCCATTAATGGATGAACTTAAAAACCATAAAAACATTTGGGACATTTCCATTTAAAAGTCTGTTCAACCATGAATCCACAGTTTTCCTTATAAAACAAGTATTTCTAACTAGCCCAGAATTGCTACACAAGGCAGCATAACTCACTTGAAGGTGATGTTTTCATATAGAGAGTTTGGCTGTTCAACTACAAAGTGTAATATTGTGATGTAGGGAAAAAAAATTATTGGATGAATTAGTGATACAGCTGTCCCCTCAGGAGTACAGTTTAGTTTTGTTGTCAAAACAGCTCTATGGTTTCAAACCCCCACAGAACAGATGTGGGGTTCGGGTGTGAAAATGCATTACACTGGCACAGGTTATTTATTCTGAGCTGGCAAGGCTGGATTGCTGCACACACCTCAGACAGGTAGAGCTGGGTCCCTTTGGGAGGGGAAGGGCTGTGGTGAGGGCTGTGGTGCTCAGAGTGTGCACACATGGCAGGTAAAACCTCTGTGATGACGTGTTTGAGAGGTGCACTGTTGTGAGACCACCCCTGGTTTACTGCACCAGTTATTTATTTTGGTAACAACTTCTTCCCAGTCAAAACAGCCTTTTCCTCTGGTTGTTTTGGGGCTCTGCACTGTTGAAGAGTTATTTAGTGCCTCCTGTGTGGTCCACTCTAAAGTCTCACACAGTCACAGTTCAAATACTAATTTCTATGAAGTTTTCAAAAAAATGGAATTCAAGTTCTTCCACCAACAGGAAAATATCAGGTTGCCATGTAATTGCTCACTGCTTTTTTTCTTTATAAATTTCATTTGACACAATTGAAGAGCTCTGTTATTAAATGTGTTAAGTACAATAAATTTCCAAGGGGAAGGAAATTTGTGCTAAGTAATCCAGTTGAATCACAGAAAGTCTTGAGTTGGAAGGGACAGTCACAGGATTAACTAGGTTGGAAGAGACCTTTGAGATGATCAAGTCCAACCTATGACCTAACACCACCTTATCATCTAAACCATGGCTAAGTGCCAGATCCAGTCTTTTTTTAAACACATCCAGGCACGGTGACTCCACCATCTCCCTGGGCAGCCCATTCCAATGTCCAGTCACTTTCTGTGAGGAATATTTTCCTAATGTCCAGCTTAAACTTCCCCTGGCACAGCTTCAGGCTGTATCCTCTAATTCTGTCAGTGGTTGCCTGAGACAAGGCCCTGACCCCCACCTGGCTCCAGCCACATTTCAGGAGTTGTGGAGAGTGTTAAGGTCACCCCTGAGCCTTGTTTTCTCCAGGCTGAGCACCCCCAGCTCCCTCAGGTGTTCCTCACAGGGTTTGTGTTCCAAGCCCTTCACCAGCCTTGTTGCTCTCCTCTGGACAAGCTCCAGCATCTCAACGTCCTTCCCAACCTGAGGGGCCAGAGCTGGACACAGCTCTCAAGGTGTGCCCTCACCAGTGCAGAGAACAGGGGCAGAATGAGCTCCCTGCTCCTGCTGGCTCATGTTCAGTCAGGTCTCAACCAGTGCCCCCAGGTCCCTTTGTGAAACCTGGCACTGTCCAGCCACTCTGTGCCCAGCCTCTAACACTGCAGGGGTGGTTGTGGCCATAGTGTAGGACCCAGCACTTGGACTTGTTAAATTTTATGTTGTTGGATTTAGCCCATCTATGCAGCCTGTCCTGACCTTAAAGATGATCTTGTTCCAACCCCCTGTCATGGGCAGGGAGAGCTTTCCTTAGTCCAGGTTGCTCAGAGGTGCATCCAGCCTGAACACCTGCAGGGATGGGACATCTGCAGCTTCTCTGGCAACCTGTACCAGTGCCTCATCACCCTCACAAGGAAGAATTTCAATTTCTTCTGTATCTAACCTAAATTTCCCCTTTTTCAGTTTGAACTCATTACTCCTTGAATCAAGGGCACCAGAAGTGTGTGCAGAACCCCAGGCGGGGCCTCACCTGAGTGGAGCAGAGGAGAATCTGCTGCCCACAATGCTCTGGATGCAGGCCAGATTGGATTTCTGGGCTGTGAGCACCCACGGCCAGGGCATGTCCAGCCTCTGCTCCACCAACACCCCAAATCCCTCTCCACAGGGCTGTTCTGGTCACTTTCCCACCCAACCAGTACCTGGGATTGCCCCAACCCCAGTGCACATGGTGTAAAGGAACTTCCACTGAAAAGAGGGCAATCCCTTTGGACCAGTCTGGCTTTTAAAAGTTTTGTTTATGCATTTAAGGCACCAGAATTATTTCTCTCACAAAGTTTAACAGCAACCTGATACTGAAAACAATATTGCCAAAACTGTAAAATTTCACTCAGTTTTCCATGCACTAAAGATTAAAATAGCCTCTGTAAAAGATATATATATTTTTTTAATATATATATATTTATATATGAAAACTCTTATGTACAATTGTATCAAATACTTTTTCTCTTTACACAATAATCCCTTGCATTTATGTGCTTCATATGCAAGTTGACTTTTGAACACTTCATACTTCTCAGGGAAGTTTTAAACTATGTACAATCAGATGACGCTCGAACAGGAGTTTGTTCCCCATACAAGCTTGTTTCTCATACCTCAGTTGGTTGCCTTTGCCAGGCCATCAGTTCAAGATTCGAGGTAGAAGTAAGTAGCCTATATACTCTGTGCAAAAAAAAAAAAAAAAATTTAAAAAAGTAATAGTGTGTTTGTTAATTTGCACGTGGCAGTCAGTCTGTGCTCTCAGTCCAGTGACCTGTTGGGCAGCTTGGGCTCATGAGTGGAGTCGTGGGGCTGGGCTGTGCTGTGGCTGGGCAGGAGAGCCTGCTCCACCTCTGCTTCCCCCTGCAGATCCAGTAGTGCTGGGGATATTTCAGGAAGCACGTTCAGTTGCTTCAATGACCCTCCTGCAGGCGAAGCTCTCACCAAATTAAGGTTGTTAAGCTCTGAAGGCTTTGCTGCTGCTTGTGAAGAGCCTGCAAAAGCCCAAAGGAGCAGCATGGTTAGGTGACACTCGGCTGCCAAGCACTCCCACCCTCCATTGGCCCCAACCTTAGCAATTCTATCCCTCTGGCCTACCCAACCCCACCAGTGCCATCCCCAGGCTGAGGGGAGCACCGGGGCAGTGCTCCAGCCCTGTGGTGGCCTTGGGATCAGAGGTGACCGACAAGGAAGGACGTACCGTGCGCGCCCTCCGGCCGTATCCTGTCGTGGTTGCTGGGGTACAGGGTCCCGTCTGTCTCCACCCTCCTGCCACTGGCAATGCCATTGCAGGGCTGGGCATGAAGAAGGCTGGTGCCTGCACCCCTCTTCCTCTGGTGCTCCCTGCTGCTCAGTGCATTGGGGTGGCTGCTCTCCACAGTCTTTAGGCCCTGGCAGTCCTTGGGGTAGGGGTGGACGCGCTCGCTGTCGGTGCTGCCGCTGCACTCCGTGCACACCACGGGCAGCCCGTAGCCTTGGGGGAGGAAGGGAAAACCAGCAGGGTGAGAGGAGCAGCTGGAAGTGGTCAGCATTGAAGGACACAAATCGTGGAAGGAAAGGGCAGTTCTGTGCAATTCACTGGGGGAATCTCTCACTAAATAACATGGACACTTCATGGTCTTCGCTATTCCACACCCACCATCACTCAAGGTAGTTCCAATTAACAGCTTTAGTTAGTTAGGGATTCATTTTCACTCCAAAGTACTTGTAACTTTCTTTTTTTTTTAAATAAACTATGCATTTATTTCCTTTTCCTTTCTAATCAGGGTAGAAGTGCAAAGAGGAACTTTACTGTAGCTGCGTGAAAATACCAAGTTATCTTTCTTATTTTTAATATAAGAATTAAGAATGAAATAATTCTTTATTAATTAAGAATTATCTTAATTTTAATATTCTTGTTTCCTGTCCTTTACAGGGAGCAGCATCAGCTTGCACTGTTATCTCAAGATATGTTATTAATGGCAGTGATATCATTAGATGAGCAGAATTCAAAGCAGCAAGGAGTTTCTAAATGCTGAAAGTTAATTTCTTAGTGCACTCAACAACTTTCTATTATTAAACTTCACATTAGTTTCTCCTAAAGAGAAAATTTGTTTCATTGGCTGATTTTCTGTGGCTTTTACAATGCAGTGTGAGAACAGAAAGCACATCCTAAAAATAGAAAAGTATGAGTGGAACACCACAGAAATTGGCAAAGAGCAGAAGCAGGTGTAGTGCCCAAAACAACCTTTAAATTTTGAAAATAAATTTAAAAGCTGAGCTTTGAAGTCAACAGCCCTTTTAAAAGAGCATGAAAAAATTTAACACTTTCAGTTTTGAAAGTGCTCTCATCATTTAAGAATATTTGAAATCAAAATTCTCATCAGCCAGCTGCACAGAATGGCAATTGGGAGCTTTACTCTGTCTCTGACAGTTGCTCAAATTCCAACTATCCAAGCTTGAGAGAGAATCAAAGCAAGCAGGAGAAAGTAAATTTTCTATGCTTGCACCTGAGAACCATTCTGAGCTTTTTTTCTCTGAAGGTAACAATTTCTTGTGTTAATGCTGTCTGACTTGGAGGGTTTTGTGATCTGTACAAACATGAAATGCCTTCCCAGATTAATGGGTTTTGTACCTGTCTTATCTGGAACAAGCATTCCATCAGCCATGTCCTCAGTTTTCCAAGTGTCTTTGTTATAGCTGATACACAGCTTGGGCTGCCTACAACCTACAGCAGGAGCTTCAACATCTGGACACCTTCCAGCATCAGCCTGACACATCCCTGTAACACACAAACCATCTGGGTAAAGATCACAGCCATCTGCTCATGGTTAAATGACTTGTTGGTCTTACTTATACTGGAAAAGGGAAGAAAAATAGAAATGGGGATAAAAGATAATTTTCAGCAAACATTTAACAGAGTAAATGCTGCACAATCTCACAAGGATCTTTGTTCAGAACTCTTAACTTCTCCTTCCTAATGTGCTGTGTTTAAATAGTGTAAAACCCCAACATTTAATTTCAAAGCCTGAAGGCAGGGACAGGCAATGTTAATGCATTTTCTAGTATGATTGTGGGTAACTCTGCTGCCAGAAACAGAATCCAAAATTAGCAAAAAACCAGTCCTTAGGGCCTGACTGAGCAGTTTCTGAGGCAGCCAGCTTGTAGGAACACTTACTCCTGGGAGAGGAGAGCTCTGTGAAGTCAAACACAGATCCCTGCTCTGCATAAATGCAGGAGTTACTTTATAAAGATCTCTCAGATAACTCAGAACAAACACAAACACAGAAGTACTCTGGGCTGAGATTTCTGCCTCCCCTGTCAAGTTCAGAGGCAGCACTGCAGAACAATGACAGCACAGCTCACCGTTGCTGTCCATGTGCCCGTTGGGCTGCTGGGTGTCCACGCCAATGGCCACGTCCTGGCGCTCCGAGAGGGTCCCCTGGGAGGACAAGTAGCTTGGCACATCAGGAGGCACTATAGTCTCATCTGGAGCAATGGCAGAAGGGAAAAGTCAGCTCCCAGCAGGATTTTTCAAACAAAATTCACTTTTTCAATGGGGATTTGGGAGCAGATCTAGAAGCGGTTATTTTCCAGGTGCACTGGAAACTGAACTGCCTAAATATTCCCTTCCCCCCAGAAGCCCCATTCCTGATTTTTCAAAGCTTAAAGCTGTGGGAGAGAGTGCTGATAAAGGCACTTTGAGTGTTTGCATGTGGCATGGTCAGTACATAGTAGGTGGAGTAGAACTATTTATTAAGAATGAGTAAATCCTTCTCTTTCCCCTGACATTCAGTCTGTCCTTTGACTTTTACTTCTGCCTCCTGAAGTCAGGAGTAAAAGCATCATGTAGAACAGGGTGTTTGATTCTCTTAAGCAGGAAATAAGTCTTAAGCCTCTTGGCTTTCTCCATTTTCTATCAGGCAATTTCAGTTTCCCTTTGCCACACAAAACCAAGTGAAACTCAATTATATCAGGCACAAACTCCTGGATTTTGAGGACAAAAAAAAAGGAGTTATAAAAGAATCCCACTAATACATCACACTGCTAATAGGCTATCCAAGACTTCCTACCTAGCCCATGTCTTTAAAAATCCTTTTGTACTCTATCTAAAGCTAAGGAAGGCTGGAAATTCCAAGCAGGCTGGGAAAGTCTTAGGCTGGTTCTTCCTTACTTCTGTTTTGTTCAGAGGCTGCATAAGGAGGGCAGGAGATTTTATTCTCACTGCAACATCTATTTCAGCACCAAATTATCCCCTATGAGTATCAGGAGAAAGCAGTGAGTGCTAATTCTTCCTCTAAAAAGTAACAGATACCTCCATCATCGGGGGAGGGGGGGGTATCTGTTATAGCCAACATGGAAAAAGGGATTCCAGCTTTCCAGCTTCTAAGCATAATTTTTCAAGTTTTGACTTTGAAGTCTTTGAAAATACAGATTTCCAAAAATCAAGACAGGCTCCCAGCATCACGAACATCATCCAGACTGTCTCAAAAGTTATCATCTATGGTCATGGAAAACCAAAGCAGCAAAACAACAGCTGGAAATACAGCCAAGTGGAAAAGACCTTCCTGAAGAGCAAGCCAAGGGGAGAAATGCAGCTCTGAACATGCTGAACATGCTTCAGCAGCAAGTGGGAGCTGCTTCCAGCCCTGGGAGCCAGGAGAAGCTGCAGTTCCAGGGGACTGTGGGGCTCCCTGCCGAGCTGGCTCAGCCTCAGTGGGATCTCTGCCAGCACAAAAGGTTAGAGGTGGCCTGAGGCCACTGCAGCTACCTGTGTTGGTGACACTGTACTCCTCACTCTTCTTCCTGGTCTGGTAGATGATGCAGACCCAGACGAGGGAGGTGAGCACGATGCTGCAGACCACGGCGATGGTGATGATGCCCACGGTGGTGCGGTCCTTGCGGCAGCCCAGTGCCTGCAGGATGCTGACGTGGCTGTGCGCGCGCTCCGTGCCCAGCGTGTTGGACATCTCACACGTGTACTTCCCTGCGTCCTCCAGCACCACGTTCCTGACAATCAGCAGCTGGTTGCCCGAGGTGAAGTGGTGCCTTTCTGTCACCACCAGGGGCTGGTCACCTTTCAGCCAGGTGATGCGGGGCGGGGGGCTGCCCGTGGCTTTGCACTGGAGAGCCACGGTCTCGCCGACGGACACCACGTGGTCTTCCAGGGGATGGAGCAGGGATGGTGTCTCTGCGAGAGAACAAACACAGAAATTGATTTTTAGGCATGGTGTGTAGGAGTGATGGGGGTAGGACGGGCAGGACAGACGGAGATCAGAGATCTCTGAAGCCAGGTCATGGAACTGGTGGTTTACTGCAAAGGGCCTGGGTGCAGGGCCCTGCTCAGAGCTGCCAGACACAGCGTGGAGCAGGCCCAAGAGAAGAGAGGGGTGGAGAGAATGAGAGGGTAAGAGAGGGAGTAAAAATGGTAAGAGAGTGAGGTTCCCATTACAATACAATAAACTTTCTTCTGTGTTGAATATTCTGATTCTCACTTACCAATCTAGTACAATATACAAATCCTACAGCATTTACATACAGCCTATAAGAATCATTACATTACCATACTGTGTTACATTTTAAACCCTAAAAACTCCTCTTTGGACTCTTTCTGCTAAGCTGTAGGGTCTGCTCTGAGCCTTGGACCTGTCTGCAAGCAGAGGGTGTTGTTTCATCAAAAGGGGATTACCATCAGCTGTCCATGCCATTGTTTTCCACTTGTACAGTAACTGAGGTATCTCAAAGCCTGCTTTCATTTCAATCTCACTTATAGTTTCTATATTCTCAAAATCTTTTGCCAGACAATCATATTTATAAGGATTTCCTGTCTCATCTTCCCCAACAATGGTGTAACAACTGTCCCTAAAATCCCTGTCAGATTTAACAGCACTGAAAGTTCCTCATGTTCCTGCAGACACAGCAAGGCATGAAGCAAGCACATGCTCAGGAATACAGCAGACACAACACACCACAACAGATCTAACAACCACAGCCAAGCTTTCACTTGCCACAACCAACTGGTGTTGGGTTTTCCCAACAAGAAACTTCTGAGGACATACACCAACAGCTGAAACATGAATTATTTCACAGAGCAAGAAAGATGAAGTGCAATTTCCTTTTGAAGTCATTTTCCCAGACAGGAAATAGGCTGGTTGGAGGGGCTTCCTTGGCACAAGAGGAGATGCAACTTACACCTCCTTCTCTTACTTTACAGGTATTTTTCATTAGTGAACTACAGTGTGAAAGAATGAAACAAGACTAAGCAGACCATTTGACTCTGCCTCTCTTTCATCTGCAAGTGGTAAAGAGCTTGAATGGCCATCCCTCCCTGTTCCCACTTGCACTCGGCCTCCTGGAGCACTGGTGATGCCTTTTTGGGACTACCTAAAAACAGAACAAAATTAAGGGAATAAAAGACAGACAAAATTAAGGGAATAAAAGCAGTTATATTAATTGAAGGGCCTTCAGGTTCTTTTAGGGCAGATGAAGCACATCCAGGGACTACATCCAAAAATGGATGATGGGTCACAGGTTTTCACACTTTCATCAGTTTGCATATTGGGGGTTAATCTTCCAATTACAGCTTCAGGTAATGAAGTCATTTACCCTAAGTTTGCTTCCTCCCCCATGACTTTTTGTTTCCATCTCTCTAGGCCTGAGACAGTGAAGCGTCCTTGATTCAGGCCTAGAGAGGAATTGCTTTGTCTGACCAAAATGGAAGAACAGTAACACTCTATATGGAGTTTAGAGCCATACACTAAAAGAACTGCTGGATTACAACCACATGAAAAAATTACAAACACACAAAAGCCCAAAGGCATCCTTACCCAGCACGGTGAGGGTGGCGTTGGCCAGCACGGAGCCCGCCGAGTTCTGCGCCGTGCAGCTGTAGACGCCCATGTCC